TCCTTATCGAAAACTGTCAACTTTCGAAGATTTGCTTTGACTAAGTACACATAAATCGGCATGTTTAATGCATCACACCGCCTCTATTATTTACAATAATCCTAATTGGGGCACCGGTCTGTACGAACTTTGGTCGGACCACACGCATTTTGGGTTCATTTTCCATTCTTGCAGCAAATCCTTAAGTCTGACCTTAAAGCCTTCTGTCGGGTCCCTGATTATAGACATGAAGACCGAGAGGTTGTGGCCTCTGGTATGGTCGCAGTCTCCTTGCGATTTATAGAAATGGGTTGACAGAATGTACCAAGTCCACTGTCAGATGCTGGGAATCATGACAACTACCATGGCAGACGACTTCGGAATAGGTGCGTTCTACATAGTCGCCCTGACGACAAGACCAAGTTGCGACAACGAGGTCAACCCATTTCCCTGATTATAGTTTCACATGTTGTTGTATACATGTTGCTTACTCCTATCCGCAACTACTACTGCTGCTCCTTTGTTTGCCCTCGATACCAATTGGTCATCCGCCCCTTGACACTTGCTCATAAAAGTATCAACTGTCCTATCCTCGTGTGGTGCTGCTGCATGGCCGTCGATGAGAGGGACAACTTGCAATTCGATTTCACTTCCAGCATCCTCTGCGCTAGGATCTCGTCAGCAGCAATGTCCAATGAAACCACTACATCACGAAGTCCCAACAACCAAATTTTCCTTCTAAACGGCAAGTCCTGTCACTAAGGCCGATTGACTGATGTGAAGTAAAAACTGTTGAGATATGAAAAGAAGCTGGCTTTCGAGGAGTACCTCAGTAGGTTGATACTGGCATACCTTTCATTCCGTGTGAGAAGTCGAGTGGAATTGATTCCCTTCCTCGATTTTACAGTTTTATTACACTTTGTGTGTTTTTTAGTACATATCATTTTATCGCTCTGTCATTGTCTGACACGGTGGTACAGACAAACGCTTAGCACATATTCGACGGAGTCGCAGGACAAAGAGCCGAGAGCTCGTTCGGAGGATCCAACATTCTCCATCCCATGCCAGTCAATCTTTCGTCGGTTGTGTGTGAAATCAATTTTCCAATTCCTCTAAATTAACACTCATGTCTCATAGAATTAGATTGTTGCGCCGTGATATCTCTCCATATTGATACATATCTAGGCCTGTGTGTGCATGTCTATTTATATGTCTACAGACGTATTAAACCAAAGAGACAATCTCGAGTAATCAGAACAAAGCCAGAACACAAAAGTATGAATACCCTTTCTTCAATGTGATTACACAATTTCGGTCACTCGTTCGACTGGGCAAGTGTGACATGCGTGACTTTAATTGAACGTCTAGTGAAGGAGAATACATTAATTTTTATTTCTTTGTAACAGCCTCCACAATCAACCAACATGAATTTTACATTTCAGCTGGACGGCTCCAATTGGAGCAAGCAGTTGGGCTTGATCAACAACTACCGAGAGCGTGTTAAGAAGGAGCACATCGCGCTGCTGCTGCGTGGAGCCAGCATTCTCGAGCATGTGCTCAACACAAGTTTCGGGGCTAGTGAATTCTTCGAGTACCAACTCAAAAATCCCTACAACCGAGAAGTGACAATCTCGATATCAATTGACGACGAGACGTAAGCTGAATGCGCATTTTTCAAATGTCTATTTCACTTTAAATGATGCCTCATTTTGCCAATCGAGGATTCGAGTCGTCTGAAACTTGTAAACATTGTTGCTATGAGTATGCTTCGAATATGCAAAAGCATCAATCCTCGTATAGTCGGTATGATAGGACATTGGAACTATCATTTCATATGAAACCAAACTCTTGGGCTGACTTCAAGACTGATAGTGGAATTTTTCCCATAATGCAAAGCAAAGTTGTGTTCTGAGGAATCTCTTGTTTCATAAATGTTGAGGCTACTTCCGTTTTAAGTGATGGTGCCTTGGCGAAGCCATTCGAAGGTCGGCCCCACCAGAAAACGATGTTAAAATCCTCTTCACCAGCTGTCGATC